CTTTTCCAAAGAAGACATCCAGATGGCTAACAGACACATGAAATAATGCTCAACATCACAAAGCATCAGGGATATACAAATAAAAAGGACAATGAGATACCACCTCACACCTGTCAGAGTGGCTAACATTAACAACTCAGGCAACAACAGATGCTGGAGAGGATACAGAGAAAGAGGAACCCTTTTGCATTGCTGATGGGAATGCAAATTGGTGCAGTCACTCTGGAAAATAGTATGGAAGTTTCTCAAAAAATTAAAAATAGGCCTTCCCTACAACCCAGAAATTGCACTCCTAGGTATTTATCCAAAGGATAAACAGGTGTGCTATTTCGAAGAGGCACATGCTCCCCAATGTTTATAGCAGTGCTATTGACAATAGCCAAAGTATGGAAAGAGCTCAAATGTCAAATGTCCATCAACTGATGAATGGATAAAGAAGATGTGGTGTACTCCACACCCGAAAAACAAACAACCCAGTGAAGAAATGGGCAGAAGATATGAACAGACACTTCTCCAAAGAGGACATCCAGATGGCCAACAGACACATGAAACGATGCTCAGCATCCCTCCTCATGAAGGAAATACAAATCAAAACCACACTGAGATACCACCTCACGCCAGTCAGAGTGGCTAAAATGAGCAAATCAGAGAACAAAAGATGCTGGCGAGGATGTGGAGAAACGGGCACCCTCCTACACTGTTGGTGGGAATGTAAACTGGTACAGCCCCTCTGGAAAACAGTGTGGAGGTTCCTCAGGAAACTAACAATAGAACTCCCCTATGACCCAGCAGTAGCACTGCTAGGAATTTACCCAAGGGATACAGAAATGCTGAGGCATAGGAGCACATGTACCCCAATGTTCATAGCAGCACTCTCAACAATAGCTAAAACATGGAAAGAGCCTAAGTGTCCATCAACGGATGAATGGATCAAGAAGATGTGGTTTATCTATACCATGGAATACTACATGGCAATGAGAAACAATGAAATCTGGCCATGTGTAGCAACATGGATGGACCTTGAGGGTGTTATGCTGAGCGAAATAAGTCAGGCAGAGAAGGACATATGTCCTATGTTTGCATGTATAGAAGGATTAGGAGGAACTTAACTGAGGAACAAGGGGGAGAAGAAGGGGGGAAATGGTGGGGGAAAGGGAGAGAGGCAAACCATGAGAGACTCTTGAATGCTGACAAAAACTGAGGACTGATGGATGTGGGGGGGAGGGGGGATGGGCATGGAGGAGGACACTTGTGGGAATGAGCACTGGGTGTTATGTGGAAACTAATTTGACAATAAACTATTTGTAAAAAAAAAAAAAAGAAGATGTGGTGTGTGTATATATATACATATACATATATATATACATACATACACACACATACACAGAATATTAGTTAGCAATCAAAAAGAATGAAATCTTGCTGTTTGCAACAACATTGATGGAACTAGAGTGTATTATGCTAAGTGAAATTAGTCAGAAAAAAACAAATATCATATAATTTCACCACATGTGGAATTTAAGATACAAAAAAGATCATGGGCATGTTAAGTGAACAAACTAGCAGGGCTTGCTTGTTACCAAACAAGCATGGATGATAATATCTTAGAGCTTAAAAACTGGAATCTGGACTTAGTAAACTCAAAAAATTATTTCCATGTCTAGGATCTTTGGCTTTATGAGTACTTACTTGAATTCAATTCAAGCCACAGTGAATGGTGTGCATAATTTTCATTGTCGCAAGTGACAACAAAACATCAATAGAAAGAATCTGGCAAGCTGGGTTATGTTTACATAACAGAATCATATTCTTTACTTTTTATAACCAGCATAAATATTGATAGTCCTCTCAAATACACCTAGGATAACATGTAATCTTATTATCCATCCCTTCTACTCTAAGACAAAAGTTCTGGTCCATTTCTTCAGTAGATGGGGTCTCTGTTCCTCAATTATCTACCCCAGTGGTTCCGTTCTTCTCTATTATCACCATCACTCCTATTCTAATTTCTCTGATACTCATTCATACTAAAGTTTAAACCAGGAACTTCATAATAAATACTGATTGCTGGGAATTCTGGAAAGTACTGGATTCTCTGAATATTGAGAAGTGAGGGAAAGGTCAGGATCAAGTGGAATAAGGAGGACATATGTCATCATAAGACATAGATTTTTGCAACCTTCTTTTGGGCATGGAAAATTCAAGCTAGATCCAATGGCTTTTGAATCACTGAAAATACAGCTTTCTGGGTTGTGTCTCTTGGGCCCTCTGAGGATCTCTTGGGTTCATGCCTCCTCTCCATATTTGTGGCTCATGCACCCAACAGATTACACTCTCTTTTCAGGGGTCTGAGCATCAGTTTGGCAAAAGGTCATCTCCTGAGGTCTGGGCATCAGTCCTACAAGGTCCTTCCTTTGAACTCTTAGGTTCTTTTGTTCTCTCTGGTTTCTTTCCTGCAATTAACTATCTGGGATACCTCAGTACCTCCTTGTTACTCTTTAGCCTTCTAACATATTTTCTAACCAATTCCCTTTGTTTGAAATTCCTGGTGTGGATTCTGCTTTCCACAATAGATCTTGATTGAAACAGAAGCCTAAAGAATTTGGGGCTCAGATAATAGGACTATTTAGATGCCATTTTGTGGTGAGCCTCCCCATAAAGGTATGTTGACTGATGCATAATGGAGAGGCTCTTCAATTGGGCAGAGGGGACCCATGAGAGGTGACACTGGCTGAGCCTGGCTTTGAACACAAGTGTGTCTGAATTCATTGTCACACTCTCTCCTGGGGTGACAGATACACTGGAAGCCAAAAGTGATGGGATTGATGCCTCAAAAGGAAAGGATCATGTTCCTCCAAAGCCAACGGGGATATGGGGGTGAAAAGTATGAGAGGTTGAGCAAGAAGACTCCTTTCAGGGCTGGGAAGAGGGGCTCATGGAAATGCTTGCCTAGAAGGTTCTATTTAGTCCTTCCCCCAACCCCCCTGTAGCTAGACAGGTAAATATGAAGTTGTTTCCTTTCTATCTTTTGAAATTCACCTCAATTAACTTGTGCCTCAGAAAGTTTTCATGCTTGATCTCAGCAGATGGGGTGTGGAGGTGGGAGTAGAGGCATAAAAAACATGATGATGATAATAATAACAATAACAGTTGTTACCATTAGTTGAGAACCTACAAATGTCCTGCATTTCTAGAACAGAGAGGGTAAGACAGAAGTTGCGATCTGGGCTCTGTCGTTAGAGAAAGTAGTGCCAACCATTTTAGTCCTTAGGCAGTTCTGGAGTCCACCGCATTTTGGGGGCACCAGGGACCAGGCTTACCTCAGTTACGGGTACACCACTCAGTACCTGTGACTTCCCAAGGAAAGGAAGTGCATCTCTTAAGGGCTGAAAGAGTAGAGTATGCTTTCAGCTTACCCTTCCTTTTTCAGGAGTGGCCTGAGGTGGTTCAGGGCTGGTTGGATGGTCAGGAATGCCATGTGAGGACCCTCCCTAAAGTACACACAGCGAATTTTGCAATTACAAGACTCCCTTAGTGAAACTGCAGAGGGCAAGCTTGACTGCCCCAGCGAATGGACTTCCTTGTGGACGGCCTGGCATTTCCAGTTGTAGCCCAAGTGACAAGGCAGGAGAATTGAGCTCTGGGGAAATCCCACAGTCTCCCCTTGCTGAGCAGGCTGGGGTCTGTCATCAGCTCTATTTTCCTGTGGGCGTGGTTCGGTACCTCCTTCTCAGGGAGCTCGGACTGTTCATACTCATGCTGATGCTGTGATTTCTTCATCTGAGTCTCACAGGATCTTGTGGCATATGATTGCCACCCCCAATCAGGTAGGTGGGGCCTCTCCATACTTCCCAAATAAATGACAGTCTCAGTCAGAGCCTGTCACTGCTCTTGGGAGCTTTTGGAGCTGCAATTCAGTCCCCTGCCAAAAGTCCTTCCTTGCCAGCTAATAGAGGGCAAGTCCTCCAGCTTTTTTTTTTTTTTTTTTGTGCTTTAGGGCTCAAGGAAGACATGGGGCCATGCCAGGCTCTGTGTTTTGTACAGCGCAGGGCTAGCGGTTTCTCACTTCTCACTTACCAGGAAATTACTAGGACCTTGGCAGAGCTGCCCTGACCTAGGGCCGCCCCTCTGCTCCCAGGCAGAAGCAGACACCAGTGGGAGGAAGGAGGAGGAGATGCAGGCATCAGGTGGCTGTGGGTATTTAAGGTCAAAAGTCATGCCTGACTTAGGATTTGTAGGGAGAGATACGGTCACTGGCTGGATCTTTGGGTGGAGTAAAGTCTGCCCATGATCCCCTCCCTGACACTACCTTGAAGTTTTTGTCTCAGGAGATAGCTCAGATTTTCTGACCAGGGCTTTGTGTCAGGCCAGGCTTCCCAGCTCCTTGTCCAGAACGGGGGCCTCAGTAACTAGTGTCCTGGAAGGGTCTTGGAAATGTCTACTGACACTCCTATTTACTATTGCTGTCCCCGCAGGTGTTGAGACAACCCCATTATGACATGCATTCGAGGAGTCCCTAACTCTGGAGAATCCTATTCAGCAGGTGATGTTGAGATGGGGCTCTGGAGGCCTGGCACACCTGTACCATGCCTGTCTCTTCTGGGTGCCCCAGCATTCTCTGCCCCTCTTTGTGCAAGGCCCTTCCCAGCCAGTGTTGTCCGTCTTCCCCTGACGGTGGGGCTTCCACAGGGTGGGGAGTGGTGTGTATTCTCTGCCCTAGCTCCAGACTCAGCACCGAGCCAAACACAGAGTAGACATCAGAAGGAGTACCTGGGCCTTGATGCACGTGTACTGTGGGACAGCTTATCCTCTTACACCAGCCACAGCCTGGCCCTCCTCACCGCCACCCATGGCTTTCCTGGAAAGAAGGGCTGAGGGTCATGACAGTGCTGTCAGTTTTGGTGTGAAAACTCTGAGCCTGCCTTCCTGAAGGGCCTAGCATCTAGTAAAGTGGCCTAATTATAACGTTTCCTCATTATTTTTTTCTTTTTAAACCGTAGTGAGAACACCTCAGACTGGGGAGGTCTCTGATTTGAATCAGCAGGTGTGGATCCTGCAGGATCAGACCATTGTGACAGTTCCACGGACTGACAGTGTAACTCCAGGTGAGTGGTCATCCTGCAGCTGCTGCCCTGGAGGCAAGGGAGGGGTCACGTCAGCTCACCAGGGATGCTGGCACTGACCTTAGTTTCAAGGGTGGCTTTACAACAGGGCCCACCTGGAAGGAGGAGACTGTCACACCTGCCTGGGAAGGGGTGTCAGGGAGAAGTTGGCCTGGACCAGGATAAAGAAAGCAGAGAGTAAAGCAGCCTCCTGGGGAGTGGGAGAGCTGCTTTCAGTGACCTGATGGCCTGTCACTTGGAAGAGGAGTATCTTATTCTGCCTGACTTCCGGGTGTCCTAAAAGGACTAAATGGAAGGCTACCATAGGAAGGGAGATTTCAACATTGCATGAGGCCAAACTTGCTGATGGACAGAACTCTTCAAGGAGCAGAGGGGCAGAAGGGCTGCTTGGGGTTGGAGCTTCCCAACCCCAGGTGGTCAGGCAGGGTCTGCCATTTGTTTAACTCTGTGTTTGTTCCATTTCCTAGGGCAGTGACTGGTACATAGTGTGAATGAATGAATGAATGAATAAATGAACGAACAAGTATGGTGGTTGGCCTTTTGGTGGGCCTGGGGTAGCAGGAATTACATTCAAGGTTTCTTCCTGCCCCACCTGAACGATGCTGGTCTTGTCCTGATTCAAGAGGAAACTGACACCATCTCCCCTTTTGTCCTTCTTAGTCACTGTCACTGTTGTCCCATGCAAGTATCCAGAGTATCTTGAGCAAGGCAGAGGGATTCCCATTTATATGGGGATAGAGAATCCAGAAATGTGTCTCTCTTGTGAAGACATTGGAGGGCAACCCACATTGCAACTGAAGGTGAGTAAGCAAAAATAATGTTTTTTTAAAAAAAATACCAACTTCTTCCTTCCTTCCTTCCTTCCTTCCTTCCTTCCTTCCTTCCTCCTTCCCTCCCTCCCTCCCTCCCCCTCCCTTCCTTTCTTCCTCCCTCCCTCCCTCCCTTCCTTCTTTTCTTCTTTTCTTAGAGAGAGAGAGCAGGGAGGGGCAGAGAGAGAGGGAGAGAGAATCCAAGCATGCTCTGTGCGGTCAGTGAGGAGCCTGACATGGGGCTCTTGACCCCATGAGCTGTGAGATCATGACCTGAGCCAAAATCAGGAGTCAGACGCTTAACCAACTGAGCCACCCAGGTGCTCCAAAAGGCCAGTTTCTTATATGAGATATTTATTTGGTAGATAATCTAGTTTCAGAATTAAAAAAAGAAATATTCTTCATTCTTAAACATATTTATTCCTAGATATTTTTGAGTTATCTGCATGCAGTTGAGTTATGCATATTACTAGTTGAGGATCTTTTTTTAATTCTTTTTAATGTTTTATTTCTTTCTGAGAGAGAGAGAGAGAGAGAGAGAGAGAGAGAGAGAATGAACAGGGGAGGGTCAGAGAGAGGGAGATATAGAATCTGAAACAGGCTCCAGACTCTGAGCTTGCCGTCAGCACAGAGCCCGATGCGGGGCTTGAACCCAGAACCGCGAAATCATGACCTGAGCCAAAGTTGGACGCTTAACCAACTGAGCCATCAGGGGCCCCCGAGGATCTTTGTCATTCTTGTATTTTAAGATATTGTCTACCATTGTTTCAAGTATATTCTCTCCTTCATTCTGCCTTCTCTTTCCTTTTGGAATTCATATTCCTTGGTCATTGGAGCATCTAGATCTCTCTTCAGTATCTCATCTCATTTTCCTTACTTTCTATCCCTTCACTGTTTTTGGTTTTTTGTTTTTTTTCTTGTTGCATCCTGGGAGAATTTCTTGGTTCAATCTTCCAGGTCATGATTACATTTTAAGTGTGTCCTGTCTGCTTACTCGTTCTCCTATTCTGCTTCTTGAAATTTCAGTCTTTCCTCTTGTTTCTTAAACTTCAGTTTAATTCAACTCACTTTCATTTAATCAAATCCAATTCAGCTCAGTAAATACGTAAGTTTTTTAAAATATATTTTTAAAGTTACTTATTTTTGAGAGAGACAGAGACAGCATGAGTGGGGAGGGGCAGAGAGAGAAGGAGAGAGAAGATCCTAAGCAGGCTCTGCACTGTTAGCACGTAGCCCGATGTGGGGATCGAACTCATGAACTCACGAGATCATGACCCAAGCCAAAACCAAGAATTGGATGCTTAACTGACTGAGACACCCAGGTGCCCCAAAATGTGTAGGTTTATAGTGGGCACAGCACCGTTGTGGCCATTTGAGATACATCGGTGCCCAGAATGGCACAGAGCTCTGCCCTCAGAAGGTGTGGATGCTAGCGGGAAGAGAGAAATGGTAAACAATAAGTATAATAGGTAAGTTTGTCATGTCTTTAAGGGTGTGATGTCCCCAGGGAAAGCACAGTTAGAGCAGAATAAAGGGGCTGGCAGTGCCAGCCCCAGGTGGAGTTGGGCTGCCATAGAAAATAGTACAATCAGCATCATAAGATTTTAGCAGACGGTACATGGCATCAAGCGAGTTAGCCAACAGGATGTCAGTGGGAGCAAGTTCAGGTGTTAGTGGAGAAAACAGTGTGATAGGAGTGAACTAAGTGGAGAGGAGTTCAGAGAGATCACAAAGGGCCTTGCCAGCATTTGTAAGGACTTTGCCTTTCCATCTGAGTAAGATGGGGCGTTATTAGAACGTTTTGAATAGAAGAGTGACATGCATGAACATAGGTTTGAAAATAATTATTTTGGCTGCCAGTTGAAAGCAGACTGTGGGGGCCAAGGGTAAAAGTCCTGTGGGGGGACTTCGAGGTGATCCTGGGGAGATTTGACGGATGTGGATGAGAGCGTAGCCGTGGAGGTAGGGAGAAGCCAGTCAGACTCTGGAAATAGTTCATTTAAATGGAGGCAACAGGACTTGCTGACAGAGTGAATGCCGGGTAGGATGCAGGAGGAGTGAGAATTACATTTTCACTTATGTCCTATCCGCTACGCCATGCTTCTACTGTGGTTTTGCCTACTGTGGCTTTAGATGGATTGAGAACTGACCATTTCATTCTGCCACATGTGGGTCCTTAGGGACCCTGGGGACAGCAGTGTTCCTGCAGTGCTGGAAGTGAATGCCCAGACCCAGGGGGTTTAAGAGTGGAATAGGAGGAGAGAAACTAGAGGCAGCCTGTATAGACAACTGTTTACAGGGAGTTTTCTGCAAAGGGGAGCTGGGAATGGTGGTGGGCAAGTGAGATCGTTATTTTTTAAGATGGCAGAATGACAGCAAATATGCTAATGGGAATGACGGAGGGAACACAAAAATGAGTGGCTGGAAGAGGAACAGCCGGAAACTGGGGAGGGCAGGTGGGACTTGCCCCCAGTCCTTCCCAGGCAGGAGGTTGAAAGGGCGGATGGAGGAGGAGGGGTTGGAGTTTGAAACGAGACAGTGTCTTTTTATGTCTTAAACAGCCAACGCGTCTCTATTGACTTTCTGTGCGTTAGGGAATTCAGTGATGAACAAGTCTAGCAATAATTATATGACTGATGGATAAACATTCTAAGTTCAGATGGTCATCAGAACTAATGAAGAAAATAGCCTGGTAATGACCTAGGGAGGAGCTCCTATGAGGACAAATTATGGACCACTCTGTGTGGTGTCTCTCTGCAGATCTTGTGTGTGCGTAATTTAGTTAGAAATACTAATTTTAGGGGCGCCTGGGTGGCTCAGTCGGTTAAGCGTCCGACTTCGGCTCAGGTCAGATCTCATGGTTCATGGGTTCGAGTGCCACATCGGGCTCTGTGCTGACAGCTCAGAGCCTGGAGCCTGTTTCAGATTCTGTGTCTCCCTCTCTCTCTGCCCCTCCCCCACTCATGCTCTGTCTCTCTCTGTCTCAAAAATAAATAAACTATATATAAAAAATTTAAAAAAAAAAGAAATACTAATTTTACTTAAATGCACGGTATATAAATACACAAAATATACATCTATATACGATATAGAAGGCATTTTCTGATTGCTCTGTTTACTTTGTTTGTTTAAATATAAATCCTTTGGTTTGTTAGACCCTCTTGTATCTTTTTCGTGGCACTGACCTTCCTCACATGTTGGCAGTTGGTCAGAGGCTAATACCAGAACTTTCGTTAGAGGTCTAGTTTTGCAGGCTGGCGGCCCAGACTGCTGTGGCTTTGGTAAGGGAAGTCCTTGGTTTATTGCTGCAAATCTGCAGCTCCTTCCTTACCCCACCCCCCACCCCGGCCCATCGGCCTCTTGTGTGAGGAGAGTTCCAGTGCATCAGTCGAGAGTGCCCACTTGTTCATTAGCCTTTCCTCTGTGTCATTCCTACATAAGATTCCATGCTCACTGTGCTGTTCCTTTGAAATGTAGTTTTTCTAGCCCTGCTTTAACAGAAGAAAGGCTTTCTCGAACTTTGGGACATTTATTGATTGTGTGCAAGTACCTCTGAACCGCTAACAGCCTCTGCTTCTCCTGCTGGGCGTTCTCTGTCACATTCCAGAAAGAGGAGATACTGGATCTATACAATGAATTGCGGCCCGTGGAGCCCTTCCTCTTCTACCACTCAAAGGATGGCAGGACCTCCACCTTCGAGTCCGTGGCCTTCCCTGGCTGGTTCATCGCCTCCTCTGAGATCCGCCACCCGCTCTTCCTCACTTCAGACCTGGGGGGGAAGAACAATGTTAACTTCAATTTAAATATCAATGCTTGAACTCAGCCTGGAGGGGGCAGCTTGGTCAGAGGTCTTTGTTACAGTTCCTAGTTCCCAGTGTGCTTTCATTTATATTATCTCCGTGTCATTTCACCTCTGTGCTGAGAGAGAGGTGGCTGGGACCCTGTTATCGTCACACTTTGTGAATGACTTCATGGCAACCAAGGCATAAAATGTAAGCTCAGACACAGGGAGGAGGGCTCATGTAACACTCTCTTGTCAAGCTGAACTTGTCCATCCCACAGCCTTCTGTATGAGGGTGTCCTGACCCCAAGACATTAGCGCCTTCTCTGTGGGTGGATACGGAGAAGACTTACAGGTCATTAATCTTACCCAGGATCCAGTGACTACTGTGGAACTGATCGCTTTGTTTCGCTTTGTTTTCTTTCCTATTTGGACTACATTTTCCACATGCTTTGTTTGTTGCCAGTATATTTCAAGTTGTATAATGTATCCTTTTAAGGGTTAACGAACGTTTAAAGGTAAATAGTTCTTAAACTATGTTTTTTTTCCTAGTTCTAATATATAAACACAAAACCAAATATAAACTTCATGTGTTTACACAATTGAAAGGCTAAAACTAAACTATAAAATGAAATAGAAAACATAGTAAACTGAAATTAGCAAGAGGATTGACCCCCGTGCACTATTGACTGAGGATAGCACACGGGTTTAGCTGGGGAGAGGACCCCCATCAGCGGTGACAGGCCAGGGTGGAGATAATGCATGTAAAAGAGTACTACTATAGGACTACTTTCTGTACAGTCTCACAGCCTTGATTTCTTTGCCTCTTCTAGACTTTTCCTTTTAGGCATATTCACCTTCCACAAGTAAATGTGATAAGAGAGCCTAAGGCAGGCTGAGGCGAACTACAAGCTAGCACACTGTCCCTCTCCCCCAGGTGGGCTTTGTGTGACATTCCTCAGGCACTCCCGGCTGCCCAGGGACAAAGGATGGGAAAGAAAACAAAAGGCTAACTTATAGAGATCAACAGTCATGCAGGACAAGAGTCTCCATCAGCTTGCAAATATCTTAGTAAATTACAAGAAAAGGGCAATCTTAACAACAGCCTAATCTCCAGAAATCTGTAGACTCAGTTTCCTGGTGCCCCAGCATCACCCCTCTGTAATGATGTGAGGAACAAAGGCAACGAGGAAATGGCAGGGAAAATTACATTTCCTTATAACCTGCAGCCCAATGACAAATACTGGAGGCAAATACTGAGTACAACATTGTTCTAGGAACCCCCTACCATCCTAATGCTAATGCCTTACTAGAGGGAAAACACCCTTAGCTTCTCCTTAGCAAGGCTTCAGGTAACTTAGGAGTTCTTTTTAGCATATCAGAGCCCCTCTGGAGGCTTTTGTCTTTGCCTCCCCCAATTCCACGGTGTATAACCACCCACTCTTCACAACCCTAGTGCAGTTCTTCCTGCCCATGGTCCTGTCCCCGTATGTGCTGTAATAATATCACCTTTCTGCATCAAAGGCGTCTTCAAGAATTCTTTTTGGCTGTCAGCTCCAAACCCTCCAAACCCCACCATCACCCTGAAACTTCATCGAAGGTACCTTTTCTTGGAACAGAGAGCCTAGCTTTCCCACCAGCCAGGCTTCAGATGATGTATTCTGATGACATTAAATCACTGTGGGTATAATTGTAGAAAGATGCAGCTAAGATCTGGTTCTGTATATTATAGATTTCTTATTTTGGCTCTGATACTACAAACACAGAAAATTCTTAAATACAACTTCCAAAATAGCACCAGTCCCTTACATTTTTTTTTCCTACTTTTGGACAATCAGACCACATACTCTACTAAGCAGGCCAGTAAGCAATCAGTAAGCCCCGACTTAATGTAACATCTCTTGATTCTTTAAAGTTTTCTTCCTCTATTAAATGTAGTTTTAGCATTGCAGCTTTATTAAAAAACATTAAAATGGGCACTGAGCTAATTGGTTCTGTGATATTAAATTGGAGAATTGGTTATTGAATATTTACCACTATACACACTGCTCATAAGTGGTGACAGCTTCTTATACCTGACAGTTTACATTGTTACATTGTCAGTTATTACATCTGACAACTGGGACCCAATAACACATTTGCTTGTGACACGATTATGGTCTGAGTTACAGCATCTCCCTTCTACAACAGGCTGTGTGGTGATTCCATTGTCCCCTCTCTTTACCACGAAACTGTGCATGCAAGCACTATGACACTTTGTGTTGTCACTTGGCACAGATTTGAGCTCAAACAAGCTCAAATATGAGTCCTGGTGTCATGTAACTGGTTATCCTGATGGTCCAGAGGAGGTTCTGATAACATTTAGAGTGGAATCAAAATGAAAATATAGCAATCTCTAGCTTGGGGAGCCTGGAGAGCAGACCTCCAGACCCCACCCCCCCAGCCTATCCATCACGTTTGAGAAAGACCCCAGCATGTGAAATCATGGAAGACTCCTGTGAGTTCTGATGTCCTCATTTTTAAGTGAACACGTGGGTTTCACACATCTGAATATCCACTGCTCTTGCATTTGAGTTCCATGAGCTCCAGGCCAACACTCACTGAAGGATTTGGTTTTCTTTATCATTGGTATAAAGGGCTTGATACACTGTGTTGGGGGAGGTGATGGAGAGGATGTGACCACCAGCTGACCCATGAGCTGGACTCTGGCAGCTAGAGGATCCTCACCCCCTCCCCTGTCCTTGCAGTGTGTGCTCTGCTTACCTTCCCAGCTCCCAGAAGCTGCCCTGAGGACATAGCCCTGAGGTAGCGATGTGATGTTGAGACATCTGGACAGTATGTGTGGCTGAACCCAGTTAAACCCTCTTTATAAATTTTTAATATTCTAGTGGGCGGGTATGGAAATGTACTTGTCTTGCAGCTGCCCCAAACAAGCATCATATATGTTTCCTTGCTTATTAAACTTGCCACCTACTGATTTGGGGTGAATTGTCTTTTTCTTTGGTCTCAATCCTGACCTCCACATATGAGGACTGATTTCAGATTACACGGGAAAGCTTCTGAAAAGGCAATCTAAGAGACTTCACTGAGAGAGGGGATTTTTGGATTCCAGGAAGGAATTAAGAATCTTGCCACCTAAATCACAATTGCAGTGAAAACAGTTGAGTGGGATGCTTTTCTGTTGAGCTGCTTTGGGGCATCTTCCAAGGCCAGGATGGCTGAAGGGCAAAGACCACTTCCTGAAGCTGGACTTGAAGATATTGTCCCTGAACTCATGAATGATTGGGCACGGGGACTAAATATGCTGTCCCCGGAATGCTGAGAACAGTGGCTGTAATTAATAATCCTTCATGTCAATAAAACATTACTTCTTATTTCTAGCCTTTAAAGAGTTGTTAAAAAGAAGATTCTTACCAAAGCAATACATGTCTATGATTGAAAGCGGTATTCTTCTGCCCTGATCATATTTCCATGAGGCAACTGCTAACATTTTCAGCTCTTTTTCCTCCATGTGTCTAAGTATATGTTTTACTGCTATTTCTTGAACTACCAAATTTAGACATTATCTTTTTTTTTTTTTAAGTTTTTATTTATTTTTGAGAGAGACAGCGAGCACAAGTGGGAGAAGAGCAGAGAGGGAGAGAGACACAGTACCCAAAGCAGGCTCCAGGCTCTGAGCTGTCAGCACAGAGCCCAATGAAGGGCTTGAGGCCCTGAAATGAGAGATCATGACCTGAGTCAAAGTCAGATGCTCAACCAACTGAGCCACCCAGGCACCCTGAGACAATATCTTTTCTATCAGATGCCATTCTAACAGATGGCATTTGTATCCCTACTGTACGAAAATTATGTGCTCTTTATCTATTGCTACAAGTTAATAGAAGTAGCAAGTCAAACAAAATTATATTTATAGAGAGTCAAATGACCTTTGGGTGGTCCTCTTAGACCATTGTCTAGTATGACATTGGAATAGCACACCATAATCCTTTTGCCTTTCTCAGGATTTGGGTAACTTCTCTGAATGATATCATTTTCCTTCAGCCTTTTCTTTTTAGGGGTAAGGAAAGCGGGGGTAACTACATGGAGTGGATGTGACTTGCACTGACATTTAGTAGTAGGTTTGGAAATGTGATACTCTTGATTTCAATTTCCGTCTCCTGGTGTTGGAGTGTGATGAAGCACTGTTTGAAAAATCAGCAACAATTACCCAGAGCAAGCAAGACAGCAGAGCAAGGCATGATCCACCTCGTTCCCATCACTGGGGCCATCCTTACCTAGGATGTTAGCAGATGACCCACCCAGGGCGGAACATTCTTGGCCACTTAAACATTGTTATGTAATGGTGTAAGTGCTGAAATAGATTGGGTACCTATATTTCTCAAACTTGAAGGAATATCAGAATCATCTGCGGGTCTGAGCTAGAAGTCAGGTGTTTGGGCTCACTCTGGACCTAGTAAATTAAAACCCATTCCCTGCAAAATTCCAACTTAGTAGGTTTAGAGCCCAAGAATCAATATTTTACTAATGACCTTAGGGAATAGAATGCACTCCCACTGTTCACCTGCCTATAGGGCAACTGAAGGCAAAACCTGACTAATGTCACCTAGCAGAGCGGTTTTATTAGCTTGAGTATCCAGGGACTCTTCTGTGATTGATGTTTCCTGGTGGATTTTAACAAAAAATACACATCTTCGCATTTTGTGCCCTTCCCATATGTCCAACCACATGTCTGTACTCCATATCTCCTTATCTTTTAGTCTTCTGATCAGCGAGTCATGCATGACCATTGCCCAAGAGTCTATAGGTATTGTTCTTTAGGGACATTTTGTGTTGTTTTGTTTTGTTTTTTGGGGACATTTTGTATTTTGTTTTGTCTACTTGTGTGTTCTTGCAGTTCACTGAATTTCTTTAAGAGGATTATTCAGACTTCTTTGTCAGTTCATTTTTCTCCATTTCTTTAGGGTCAGTCATTGGAACTATATTAACTTTCTTTGGTGATGTCATGTTTCTTGGATTCTTTGTGATCCTTGTGGCCTTTCTTGGTGACTGTGCCTTTAAGGAAGTAGGCACTTCTTTCAATCTTTGCAGGCTGGCTTTGGAAGGGAAAGCCCTTTACCAGTCAGCTTGTCCACAGATTCTGGGTGGGCTTGTTCTGGAGCCCTCAGACAGGAGGTCTGGTGCCTGGATCAGCAGGTGGGCAGACCTGGTGCTTGGGTCCATAGGGGCTGGTCTGGTGTCTGGGTTCAGTGAGACAGGCCCAGTGCCTGTCTGTGGCGGTGGGCCTGGGACCTGGGTCTGTGTGGATGGGCCTGGTGTCTGGGTCTACAGGGGCTGGCCTGGTGCTGGGGTGTTCTTGGACCCTGGATTCATGGGAGCTGCCTGGAGGCTGAGACCATGGAGGCCACCCTAGCAGTTGAACAAACCTGAGCCTGGGGCCATTGGAGTCAGCCAGGAGCCTGGAGCTGCAGGGGCCATGAGGGCCACTCTGATGTTTGGATCCATGGTGGCTGGCCTGGTGCTAGGAGGGTCTAGTGACCTGGATCCACAGGAGACTGCCTGAACCTTGGCCAATGGTAGCAGCTTGGCACTGGGGGAGGCCAGAACCCTCCTTCCATGGGAGCTTATTTGGGATCAAGGTCTATGAAGGCTGGCCTAGGTGCTGGAGCAGGTTGGGAGCCTGGGTCCATGAGAGTGAGCCTGATGCTAGGGAGGGCCATGAGTCTGGATTTGTAGGGGATTGCCTGGAGCCTGAGTTTGGGGGAGTGAGGGGGGCGGATTTGGCCTGCCTAGTGCTGGAGTGGACTGGTAGCCTGGCTTTCTTGAAGTCCACTAGAAGTCTGGGGCCATGGGAACTAACCTGATGCCAGAGTAGGCCAAGAGCCTCAGGCCACAGAAGTCAGTCTGGTGCTGGTGTGGGCTGGTGGTGGAGTCCACTGTGAAGTCAGTTCCTTACTTCACTCTTCTTCTATAAGCTGGATGTCTCTCTCCATGCTGGGCTACCCTGGCTTGGGGGAGAGATGATGGGAGTACTATGAAATTACATTTCCTACCCTTTTTTCAATGAATTTTTTCTTATTTCTGTGTTCCATTCAGGTGCTGTCATCCCTCACCTGGAATTCTTAGTTCTTGTGAAGGTATTCTTATGAATGGATAATTGTTCAGATTGATGTTTCTGGGAGGCAAAGAGTACTAGAAATTTCTAGTACCATCAGCTTGCTAATTCTCTCTTTTGGTGTCTGTTGTCTATTACCAAATACAAATTTTGGTTTATTTAATTTTATTCGTTGTGTTATATAGTTCTAGAGATGCTGTTTAACGCTTCCCAATCTGCCATTTTCATAGTTTGTTGTTCTAGAAAAACGTCCATGTTTGTCCTTTTCTTTTTAAATATGGTTAGGATAGTTGAGGTGTTTTTTTTTAAATATTTTTTATTTACTTCTGAGAGAGAGAGACAGCATGAGCAGGGGAGGGCCAGAGAGAGAGGGAGACACAGAATCCAAAACAGTCTCCAGGCTCTGAGTTAGCTATCAGCACAGAGCCCAACATGGGGCTCGAACCCATGAACTATGAGATCATGACCTGAGCCAAAGTAGGATGCTCAACCGACTGAGCCACCCATAGTTGTTTTAAGCTCTGTGTATAATAATTACAAAATCAGATGTCTCTGTATGTTTCTACTATCTTTCTTTGCCTATTTTTTTGGTTCTCATTCTTGCGATCTTGCTTACTTGCATGCCTGGTAATCTTCAACTATTTGTAGATTGTTGCCTTTGTAAAATTAGGTAAGTGGCTCTGCCCTCCTCTAAATGGGTTTTCTCTTTTTGTTTCATGTGGAAAATATTTGGTCTACATTAAACCAAAACAGTTTGAGAGTTCCTGGCTCAATCACATTGAGTACTCAATGTGAAAATCCTCAGGAGGGCCTGTCCGTGGTCACAGCCTTCAAGGAATTACTTCTTTTCTTTATATCTTTCCCTCATTTCCTTTGTTCAGTGCCAAGACAGTCTACTTTATGGGCTCCAGAGATTGGGGAAAAGTGAGGGTGAGTCTAGATCTGGTTTGCTTCTCCCCCCTCCCTAGTCCTAAGCAACCCCTGAGTCCTGAACTCTCTCTCTCTCTTTTTGTACTGGTATGACTAGCATATGGCATGGGTGCATGCTATAGCAGCACAGAACATATAGTGACTTTAATGCTCCTTTATTAGATCCTGATTCTATATGTCTGGGATAAAGCCCTAGATTCTGCATTTCTGACAAGCTGCCAGATGATGCCAATGCTGCTAGTCCAATGGTCACACTTTGAACTTCAAGGATATATAAAACAAGGACTGTTCCATCTAATAACCTGGCAATATGTGAACAGTAGTCAAATTGAATGATGGGAATTGTGCTATATAAGTTGAGAGAGATTTACAGAACTGAGGTGACTTTGTTAGACCATGACCTGTGTAGGGAAGGATAGATATGGATGGATGAAGTAATGAAATCTTGATTCAGATCCAGTTCTGGCTACTTGAAGAGAGAAGGAAGGTTATATCTCTAGATTTTATTCATCTGAAGTTCTTTTCTTACAAGGAGAGAAATTTCCTTCACATAAGGAAAGTGGCCCTTCTCAGGATCACCCACCATCTTGGTGGTAAAGGATGCACCTCCATTCTAGGGAGACATAAGTTGAGGTCTTGGGTTGTCTGGTATCACCAAAGCCCCCATCACCTCAACTAATGGCACTGTGGACTCAGTGGAGCTCCATGGGACTACATGGAGCTCCATGTGTTTATAGGATGAAATAATGAATCTGAAAGGATCTGCATCTTATTAGCTGTGGTCCTAAATGAGTTTCCATTAGTATATGCAGCATCCATATCAACGTGTCCTGAATGTTGCTTCTTTGTACCTTATGGCAGGACACTGAGATCCTCTCCTCAAGATATCCAAGTGGGTCCAGTTCTATATAAGGAACATGGAGGTGATGTCATTCCTTGAAGTAATTCCTTGAAGGCTGTGACCACGGACAGGCCCTCCTGAGGATTTTCACATTGACATCTGGACTTCCTTCTTAGAGCATGGAAATCAACTTATGCTAATGGATACCTGGGGAACTCCTCTTCATAGCCACAGATTGATTTTGAATCCTAGTTTTGACTCAGAGATGCCTACTACACTTTTAAGTATGAGTGCTTCATGATTCCACACTTTTGAGGGAATGGCTATGGGGCTACTCAGGACAAGATCATAACGATCTTTATATCTCACTGTGCAACGAGAAGCCCTTGGAAGACTATATAGTGTGAACTTGAGAGTGTCTTTGTGTGGTTAGGTAGGCTGATAAGCTAGCACAAATATCAAGAGCTAGGACGATCTACTGGTAGTCAAAGCAAAAAGGCTGGTAGAGACAAACAGGCTGATCTGGGGTCTAGTGACAGACATAGGAGACTCAAAAGGCCAGTTGCTACAGGAGTGTCAGGTACTGGGGACTTTGCATGCTCTTCTTTAACTGACACAGTAATCCAGCATGGTACAATGCATTTCATATAACAGTCATCTTAGGATCAGAGATGTGAAAGGAGTCTGCCAAGGACACAAGTCCAAAAGTTGCAAAGGCTAATTGTGAACACACATCTTTTGAATACAAGTGTCTGGCTCTTGAACACTAAACTACTGTCTTAGCTAGTGTTCTCCCTGAGAAACCCTAGCATTGTTCCAGAGGCTGGGGAGGCTAACATATTTACCCACCAGTCCCTTCTCCCATTGGTTGAGGTTGCTGTTGAAATGAATACCCTTGAGGTGTGAAGCAGACAGATGCTGGAAACTGCCACAGTGACAGTGAACTCAGTTGGGCTGAAGGGACTGGGGTAGGGTATCAACAACACTGTCTAAGCTTTCCTTTGGGGAAGACCTAATGCGGGTTTGCTGCTTAGAACACTGAAGCATCTGAGAGGCAGACTCCCTTCTCTACTAATCTAGGTCAGTGACTTAGAGACCATGATGGGCAGGGTGCCCAGGAGCTGGCCTTGCCCAGGTGAGGCTCCCTTGAGCGGAGAGGCAGCATGCTTACAGGCTCTGAAAAGCTGGAGAAGCATACACTGGGGTGTTTTTACCTGGTCCGAGATTGGTAGAGAATATGGTGACTGTGAACCAGGAGTAGTTGTAAGCTACCCAGATCTTAGGGGACTCATTCTTTTCTTTGTCTACCTTGAACTTGCTGAAGGCTTCCATTCCTAGAAATAACATTCTAGTGTGTCATTTTGTGGCAAAAGAGTCCAGTCATCAGCCCTGGGGCAGTCCCATAATGTTTCTTTCCTCAAACTCAGTGTTGATGACTATATTTCCTGGTTGTTGCTCTTAGGGGCTTAGCATGCCCTACTTTTTCAGGGTGAATGGACAAGTTGCAGTCATACTTGGCTGGCATTTACATAAAGACTCACTGAATCTCTGGCACCAGGAACCAGAAAGTATTGAGTGGTAGGCAGTCCCAACCCAAGTGAGGCAGAACCTCCTTCCTTCTCTGTGTGCATAAAAAGCTTGGAACTTGTTGGATTCACTCAAAGCACCTACGTCTGGAGGGAGCCAAAGTGTATAGTAACAGATTACCGGTGTAGTCTGAAGCCACGAAATCTGCTCACCTTTGATCTTCTCTTGCTTCTGGATCTATGGTATCTCTTGCCGTTTCAGCAAAGGAACTGGGAGCCCTAGACAGCTTTCCAGAGTCCTTGGATGCAGATAAAGCCTTAACTTTGGATCCAGGGACAAAAGCATCTCTTGGACAAGGTAATTTCAGCTCAGAAGCCATGTGTCTAAGCTTTCCTTTGGGAAAGACCTAATGGGTGTCTGCTAGCTTAGAGCACTGGAGCATCTGGGAAGTAGGCTTCCCTCCCCACTAATCTAAGCCAGTGGTCTAGAGTCCATGATGGGCTTCATTCACTGCTGTCCTTGGGGAGCCTTGGGGGACCTTGGGGAAGGCACAGGATACTAGAGGAGCTAGGGTTACTTCCAAGAATACAGGTGATGATTTGCTTACTTCCTGTCCATGGATAACTATTGAATTGGGAACTGAGGATCCTGAGGCAGGGGTTGGGAGTGGGGGATGGGGGGGATGTGAACAACTGGCTCTCACTGTGGGGAGCTTGTGGCCTTCTTAGGGAACTTTCTTGGTGCCCTAACCAGAAGCCCAGGGACAGATGACTCCTGACAGTCAAAACACCTAATGGAGTTTGTGATGTCTACGTGCAAGATCCTTAGAGATGCCTCTTTGGATGAAGAATAGGGGAAGATGGGGGTCAGAGAGGCAGATTTGCTGACAGTCATTTAGTAGTGTTCAAGCTTGAAGACAGGATAAGAGGTGACTCACCAGATATGTGGGAGACTAGAATGGAGACAGATGCACACCCTCTCCTCTCCTCTCCTCCTTTAAATCCAGAGCCCTGTTGCACTGAAGGTGCCTGAGGTGGTGCTCTGGAACCTCCTAACAATCACAGATATGATGGATGGAGAGCATCCCAAGACCATCATAGTCTGGAGAACAAGGACTACCAGTCTAACAGAGATGGGAGTTTCCATTTGGGGTTTTCTGGCCTTGGAAACCCCCTTCCTTAGTCTCAGGTGTGCCTCTGGGACAGGAGCTTGGGGGCAGCTTTCTTAGAATTTTTACAAAAAATTCCGGGGTTGGAAAGGGGAGAGAAATGGATGAGACGTTTCTCTTCCTCCCTTTTCCACAAGACCTGCTGCTGACAACTTCCTCTCCATCATCTGATTTACATTGTCCTCTTCACAGGAAGCCCTGAAACCAAGATGGCCACCTCCCAAGGTGAGTGGTGAATCACAAACCAGCTTGCAAATATCTCCATTCTGCCTCACCAAAGACAATGCAGTACAGGGGCCCCTATCATTTACATAGCTACAGATGCATTTGCTCTTGCTAATATACTCAGATCATAAAACTTGCATCTGAAAATCTCAAAGCATTTAGATCTTTTCTTATTATGTATATTCAGAATTATTTATATATTTTGATAAAGAGCATAAAGGAAAAAACAAGAAACTGATGACCAACTTAAATATTTTTGGTTTTGTTACTACCCAGAGACTATCAATTAGAAAAAGACAAGTCACTGATGTCCCTAGAAAAAAGACAAACCTTGAAAATCTCTTGGGGAGTAAAAATGCAGGTAGATCCTTACAGATGCCATGATCCACAAACCAGCTCCTGGCTTATTTCCCCTCCCTTACTCCTTATAGCCACTCTTTCTCAGAGCAGTAAATCTACCCCTAAGAATTCAGAAGCCATTATTACCAGGATGCAGTGAGAGTCCTGAAGTTTATAACAACCTCCTATGTGTTCTGTGCTTTTCTGTCTTTTGGCAGCGGTAGACTATTTCAGAATCTTTGATGTTCATGATTCTCTACAGAGGGTGTGGGTCCTGAATGGAAATTCTTTAATAACAACTCCATTTAACAATGAAGTCAGTCCTGGTGAGTGAAAATCAAAGCCACTGTTTCTTCTTAAAGGGGCACCAGTTACCCTGGGGATGGGGCTGTGCTTGCATGAGCCTGGCCTTCAGCCTGTCCTACTTCTGGGAACAGTGTTCACAGGAAGGGCAAGCAAGGACAAGATGGTTCCTTTCCACAGAGGAAAACTTGCACCTAGAAATGATGGTATGAGGGGTTGACAGCTCTTCTTACCAAGAGGAAATGTCTTCAGATAAGAAGGGATTGTCCACTCAAGCAGCAGTTGACCTTCTCATTGGAGTTTCTCTCCTTTAAATTTCAACAATTGTTACCTATGTCCTCAGAATCAAACTCAATCATCTTTCCACTACATGCTCTCCTAATTCAGTGTCCTCTCTTCTAATATTGGGTGATATTCCTTCCTCCCATCAAAAGTCAGTCTATCTCAGCTTCTTTCCTTCTTGCTAGGACTTCAGCATTTGATTTATTTCTTCTCTTCCCACATGTTCCACCTTTGTCTATCTACTGGATCCTTTCCATCACTGATATGCTCTAATATAATATTTCTAAGTTTAATACTAAACAGAGTTCTTTTGATTCCAACATTTCATTCCTACTACCACTCGTTTTTCCCATCTGCCAATCTCTGTACAGTTCTATGTACAAGTCATAGCCAAGTTTCACAGAAGAGCTGACTACATAACTTGTCTCCACTCACCTTCTGCTTTTGTTTGCATCAAACAACATGATTTCTGAACTGTTCTCTTAAGTTCCTTTTCCCAAGCTCACCAGATGCACTCTTCTGTCCTCACTTATTTGGATCCTCAACTGCAGTCAGCATGATTAATAACTGTCTTTCTTGAACACCCTTTATCTTCTCCTTCTGTAGGAACATTCCCTTCTGGTTCACTGGCTTCTCTTTGGCATTCTCCTTTCTGATTCAACTTTCTGTATACAATCTCTAAATACTGGGGATCCTCAGATCTCAGTCTGCAGTCATTATGCAACCCTGATGAAGGGATTGGGAGCTGGTCTCTTGGATTGATGGATCACCTCTATCACTCTGGCGTTCATGCTTCCAAGCAGAAGTCCCCTCTGAACAATTTACCCATGTCCTCTTGATATCCTCTCAGACATCTCTAACTTCCTCTATCCCAAGCAGAACTATGGATCTGACCTCTCAAAACTGTGGATCAGCCCAGTCTTTCCTATCTCCATTAGTGGCACTACCATCACCTGTTTCCTCCAGCCAGAAATGCTAAAGACATCCTTGATTCCATCTCTGTCCAATCCAACAGCAAAGACTGATGAGTCTGTGTGTAAAATATGACTTATTTCTAAGGCAAGATCATATCTCACCTGGACCACTGCCATTGCCTCCTCACTGCCCTCCTTCCCACCTCATTTGTGTAGCTTCTCATCCATTCTCTACAAAGTAGTAAGAGTGACCTTCTGAACTATGTTAAATGAACAGTGTCTTTCCTATGTGTTTGTGTTTTAGGGGTGGAAGGTGGGGGCTAACGGGGAGTTCTCAGGGATACCAGTCTTCTTTCAGAGCCACATAGGGGACTTGATCCAATCCTTTCTCCACAACACTCTCCCTCCAGATCCCCTCCACCACCCTATTCCCATGTCTTCATATGCTAGTTTCCTCTTACCTTTAAGGTCTTGGTTTGAAAGAGAGATCTTTCTTGACTCTTCTGTGTAAATTTAGTCTCCTACTTTCTCAAGTTTTGGTCCCTTTCCTCAAAGCAGAACTTGCAATTTATTGTGGTTCTGGTCATTTTGCCACTTACATTTTTTGGTCTCATTTTCTGTGGGGAGAATGACAGTGTCTCTTTTATCATCATCTAAATCTCTGTGGCCCACTTGCATCCTTGTCTGAGTGGGCATTCAATAAAGAGTGCTGACTGGAGAATTCTCAGTATGCTGCCCAGAAGGATAGATGCAGACTTCCCAGGTTCCTGGGCTAACTTAGTTGGGAATTAAATTTAGCTGATAGTGACAGAAAACCCACATACCTGGGACTTAACTAAAAAGTTTACTTAAAAAAATAAGTTTATTTCTTTCTCATGAAAAAGAAGCCTAAGCAGGCAGGCTGAGGTTGGTATGGTGGCTTCCTTGATGCTTCCATAGTCCAAGGATTCTAGCTTTCTGCTTTCACAAGTTCAAGTTCTCCTCAACCATCATCCAAGTATTTGAGGCAGGCAGTAAGAAGACACAAAGTATAAGAAAGATGCTTCTCCAGCTGAGTCAACTCCTTTGAAAGAACATTCTTAGAAATCCCACACAACACTTCCATGTTTATCTGATGGGCTATGACTTCAGCATATGATCAAACTTAGCTGCAAATGCAGTGGGGAATTTTATTTTTATTTTTGGGTTGCAGAATGTCCTGGTAACATCTGGGGTTCTGATATTAAGGAAGTGAAAGAAATGGGCTTCAGATAATGATGAAGGGTCTCCACTACATGTGACTAGGAGGAACCTTCCTGGGGATTCCGGCTGCTCTGCATTCCCCTCACCGGGAGGAGTAATGTCAAGTCAGAAAGACTGTCCTTTCTGCTCCTTAGAGCCTCATACCTGTTTCCATTTTTCCTTGTGTTTCTAGTCAGTCTTGCTTTAATGACATGTACAGACAAAGAATTCCATCATGCAGAGAAAGGCAATCCAGTTTACTTGGGAATCAAGAACAACCATCTTTGTCTTTTCTGTGAAGAAATTCAGGGCCAGCCTACTTTACAGCTTAAGGTGAGTGGTTGTACAGTTAATGAGAAAAGCACTGTGAGATGTACTTTTTATTTCATTTAACATATCACTGAATAAAAATAACATTTTTCAATCCTGGGTTGTTCAGGGTAAGGAAGGAAATGTGACTTGGCTGTCCCCCAAGTCAATAAATGCTGCTTTTTGCATGGGCATGACACTCATGGTAATGTGTAAACATTCTCCAAGAGCCAGAGGATACACACACGAGAATGCTTCAGGAAGGCCAAGGAATGGTGGTTTCTCCAACCTCAGTTTTCTTTAACTGTCTCCCAGAAATCCTGCATGATGCTGGGCTGCTCCCACTTAAACAAAGGCCGCTGTGTGAAAGAGGAGACAAAGGGGAGATTGGTAGTCTGAATTTGGTGGATTATATGCCTATGGTTCCTGTCCTGAGGTAGCATGTGTAGTTATGAAGCCAATCTTTTTGGATATGATGAAAGCTTTGAGATTTAAACCCACTTGGAGGCTGGCAATCTTGGGAGACACCGGCACCTGTGGATGGGTGCTCACCGAGAGCACCCACAAAAGTAGCTGAAACCCCTTTCTGTTCTCAGGGAAGACAGGGCTGTCTCAGAGAATCAGAAGCACCTTGTATCATAGGATCCTGGGGTGGAATCAAGCTATAGGAGCCAGTGGGTTCTCTCTTCTGACATCTTGTGTCCTTGCATCTGTTTGTGTCCCTGGCCCCTGGCCCTCCCTTGGGAGAAAACAATCACTCTCAAGGGCTATGTTAGTTTAGACCCTCTCTCAGTAATCTTCTCTAATAAACCCTTTTCCTGATCCTAGGAGAAAAAGATCATGGATGTACACAATGAGAAGAAAGGACAGAAGCCTTTTCTCTTTTTCCATAATAAGGAGGGTTCCACCTCCACTTTTCAGTCCATCTGCTACCCTGACTGGTTCATAGCCACTTCCAAACTAAAAGGGCAGCCTCTCATTCTCACCAAGGAGAGGGGCAAAAATTACATCACCAACTTCTATCTGGAGCCTAAGAACTAAATCCAGCCTAGGCTGTGGGTAACTGATTCCAGGAAAGAGGATCAAGCAATCAGAGAATCTTCCATTCGGAAACTTAGTAGGTTATGTTCATAGACCAATGTGCACTGGTGCCCATCCGTAGCCCACCTCACTTTCATCACCCAAAACGACCTCTTCCTCTAGACAGCCATTTGTGCTCTATGCTTCCTCATCTGAACATCATCCCAGTATGAAATCTGAATCACTTTTTATTCTTTCCTGATCTTGTCCCACCATCCAGTTAGCTGTCAAGTCCAGTTAAGTCAACATCCAAAATGCTGTACACACCTCTCTATTCCTTTTCCTTCTGACAACTCATGGCCGAGAGATGTGAGTTCCAAACATTTTTTTCATACAACCCTATCAATAAAAGAGTATTATTTGTTAATTCTCTGCATGTTTATTATAAATATTATAATATGTATTCCCAAAGATGAATCTAAAGTTTCTATTTGAGTAATCTCTACACTCCACGTGGGGCTCGAACTCATGACCCTGAGATCAAGAGTCATATGATCTTCTAACTGAGCCACCCAGGTCCCCCACCAAAGATGAATCTAAGGATAAATGTGAAATACAAATGAGTGGGAAACTGTGAGCTGTACATTTATGATGTAGCCACTTTTCTGTGTGTATGTATGCATGCTTCAATTAAAAGTTCACTTTTAAAAAGAAAAAAGATAAGGATGAAATAAAAAATTTAAATGTCTTGATCATCATATGGATTCAGAATATCATTAGTCAATAATTTGTCATGTAATAATACTTTAAGATTAATTATTTACTGTAGTGAATTTAAATCAATCAGTATTTCTAAGAATCACTTATAAGGGTGCCTGGGTGGCTCAGTCAGTTAAGCGTCAACTCTTGGTTTCAGTCATGATCTCACAGTTTGTGAGTTTGAGCCCCGTGTCGGGCTATGTGCTGGCAGTGCAGAACCTACTCAGGGTTCTGCCTTCCTCTCTGTCTGCACCTCTGGCGCTTGCTCACTATCTCTCTCTCTCAAAAACAAACAAACAAACAAACAAACAATAACAATGAAAAACCCAAACTGCCCATGGGTCTGAGCTAATCCTTGGATCCCCTCTTACATCCTGCTGGCGTGCCTCTTACTCCAGTCATTGCTGTCCAACCAGCTCTGAGAAGGTATAAATAACCTGACAGCACGTCATCCCAGCTGTACCAAGCATCTGTCTCTCTCTGCTCGGAGGCTCCTAGGACACCGTGGGGAAAGACTTGTAGGAACCCACTTGGCGCTCACACATGCACACACTTGGAAGTAAGAGGAAGCAACACCATGAGGAACCCTTGACCGTTGGGGGAGGGTGTGGGAATGGATGGAAACATGCTACTTGCGTTGATCATTCAAATGTACAATTCTGGGATGCATTCTGCCTGTATCGTACCTCGGAGGGTCCCAGTAGGATTGAGTCATAGTCACCCATGGCAGTGCTGAGCTCAAGAACATAGCCTTGCATTGGCTTACCTCATTTCCTTGCTTTGGTTTCTCCAGACTCCAGTCCTGTTGCCTGGGTTCACTTCTCATCATCTGAATGCAAACCCTTGTCTTAGGTTCTGCTTTCTGGTATAAACCCAGAGTAAGACAGATTCAGTCAAAGCAGGCTTCTTTTGTCTACCGGCTACGCTCAACACATTGGATTTCTTCCCTCGATGACTCTGCACATGCTTTTGCAAACATTTCAGACACTTTCATCACTGTATCTTATCTGCCCCTTCTGTCTTCCTACATCTGTCTAAAGTGTTCAGAAGCTGCTCCTCATCCTCCCAATGAAATATGACATCCTTATCTTCTTTGAGGTCTATAGCACTTTACCTGATCACGTGACATTTCTTTTGTTAGACTCATGCAGGAGTTTTTTCTCCTTGTCTTGGCCTCTTTGCTCTGTTTGCAACCAAATTCCAGGTACATGAGAAGACAGACAGAGAGTGTATCTGTAATAACCCTATACTCCTTAGGTGCCAAATCTTGCCTCCTACATAACAGCTGCTCAAAAAATATTGTTAAAACAAATGAATTCTCACTGCATGTTCTAGCATCTTCCACTGATACCCAAGTGTGTCAGAGTGGAGTTGCTTGATCATGGCACAGAAAGCCCTAACTGCAAGAAGAGTGCAAGGAACATCAAAGCTCCTCAGAGAAGCTGGGGAAGGAAAGCACAGAAAGGCTGCCTAGGAGCTTCCCTGCCTCCTCCCTGTATGCCAGTCTGACCTCAGGGGACTGTATTGATGTTAGGATATCCTCTCAGGATGGGATGAATATAGAATCAAAGCACAACCCCGAGTTTCCCAGAGAGCTTCCAACCAATGCCCACTGAGTGCACAGCCTCTTCTTCTTGGATTTTGTCCAAACCATCACCAACGTACATTCATGCACTCAGAAATCATTTAGGGTCACTGGAAAAGGACACCAGGGGAATTCAGTGTTTCAAGTTTTTTCTCTGACAAGGTCAGGACGCAGCACCCAATGACCCCAGGGATGACTATCGGAGACTTGTAGCAGCAATGAAATGGACATGTAGTGAGCAAGTTTTCTGAGGAGGGCTGAGAAGAACGTGAGTTCTGTAAACAGCTGAATGTGTAGAAAGAATAGTAGACAGTTATGAAAAAACACAATGTAACCCTTGGCTGTGCTTATAAATATTAGCTTCTCAGAAATCCCAAGAGCACTGGACATGAGCAGGGGGTAGATGGCCAGCCTGCCCTGCAATGCACCCCTGTTCCCTCTGGCAGAGGTGAGGAATTGGTGGTGGTGAAGGAGGAAGAGAGAGGAGGAGAAACCATAGAAGGAGCCAAGAGGTATTCTCAGATGTTTTACTGGCTTTCTTAGTTTGAGGGAGGTTTTAGTCTATTTGAGCTACTATAACGAAATTCCATAGACTGGGAGGCCTAATAATGGCAAACATGCCGTCTCACAGCTCTGGAGGCTGGAAGTCTAATATAAGGGTGCCATCACAGTCAAGGTGAGGGCCCTCGGTGGATTGCAGACTTCTCATTGTGTCCTCACATGGTAGAAGGGGAAAGGAAGGTCTCCTAGGCCTTTCCTAAATGGCTATTAGTCTCATTCATGGGGGCACTGCCCTCAGGATCTAATCACCTCCCAAAGGCCCCACCCCCTAATCTGATCACATTGGGCATTAGGATTTCACCATAGGAATTTTGAAGGAATCAAACATGCCTATTCCCACACCCCATCTTCTCCTCCTCAGTTACTCAAGACAGAAACCTAGGAGTCATCCTTGATTCCTCCTTTCCTTGGAATCCTACCTCTGATTCATGAAGTCTATCTCCAAAGAAGACTACCTTCAAAAGACATCTCCAATCCAACCCATCTCTCTTCAACTTCTCTGCTACTCACCACTCCATGCCAGGTAGCAACCATAGCTCACTGGTGCTGTAAATCAGACTCCCGACTCGTGAGTTCTGTCTACTCTTCCATCTGCCCATTCAATCTGGTCTCCTCAAGCTGGACAGGGTTATCTCCATAAATGGAGATCTAAATTATGTCGTATCAATGTTTACCCCTTCAATGCTTCCATTTGCACTTAGAAGGAAATACAAATTCCTTACCATATGTTCAGGGTTACCTGGATGGCCTGATCCCCCATCTCCAACCCCTCTTCCAGGTAATTCTTTCTTTCCATGTCTATTCTCAGTCATGCCAATCTTTCAGTTCCTTGAACGTGCCAAATTCTTTATAGCCTCTAGACCTTTGCATATGATGTGCTCATGCACAGCCCTATACCTGTATTGTTTTACTCTCATTCTCTGCTTTTCTGGCTCCTTCAAGTCACTTCTTTATATGTCACCTTCTCAGAGAAGCCATCCTTAACCACCATGTCTGAAGTAAGCCCCTTTTTCTACCTCCTGAATTTTCTGTCTCTCGTTTTTGACTGTTTCCTTCACACAATTGGTAATGACTTTATCTGTTTTTATCTCTACTTCCCTCCTTATATACATTACAGTCCTTGATTGCAGGGAAGTAGTGTTTGTCTAGTTTACCACTATATCCCTAGTCCCTAGCACAGTGTCTGTGTTTAATGAATATATGTTGAATAAATATATTGCTAATAAATTAATTAGTGAATGAGTGACTGAGAAACTGACTTCCTTCCCAGGCAGCCTGCCCTCTTTTGTGAGATTGGCCTCATCTAGAATAAAACCTTCCTTCCTGTTCTGAAGCCACAACATCATGGAGAAAGGAGGTCTATGTCCACAGAGTCCTTCAGCTTTGTGAAGACTACTTTGGCTGCCTTCCTCAACCTCTCTTTCTCCTCTGACATTATCCACCAAGGAGGGAGAACTGTTCTTCCTCACTCCTAATGTCTCCTGCCATCACACACCTGCCCTTCCGCTCTCCCTCCCTCTACCCAAGTGGGGGCAAGACCATATGTCCCAGTGCACACCTACTGTCTTGGTGTGACTGCCCATACCACCTCCTTTCCCTTCAACAGTGTCATATTATATGATAAATTATGTGGTCACCCTACCTATTAGAAAAAGGGATAGTGTGGCTCAGTTGCTATTCACCACTTTCCACTGGGAACCAGCTGAATTGAAGAAAGCATCTTTATAGATGTGAAAGGACAGAAACATTTTGTGGAACTGTCTCGAGTCAGATGCCTGGACCATGTTCTATCTGAACATGGGATCTCCCTGGTGTCAGTGACAATACTTCCCAGGGCTGAGTGAAGGAATTCTAGTGAGGAGCACTGCCGCATGACAGGTCCCCAGCTTCTCAGAGTCCAGGTAAGATCACCACTGTGAGTATCCTGGTCCCTCAAAACAGATTTAAAACCCCTCTGTTACAAATCCAGAAGAAAGAGGCACTTTCTCCAAGGCCGAGACTCTGGCTTATAGCTTTTCCCAATAACCTCTTCCCAGATCCCAGTGCGGGGAAAATGTGGGCTTTTCTAGAGATTTGTGAAGACAGAAGACTCTTCTAGCATTCCCTGTGTCAGCAG